CTTCTCGCCCTCGCTCTAAGAATAATGAACCCATCCTGTACATCAAACCGATCCCTAATCCTAAGGACTCTTTCTCCCTTTCCCAATGGTTCATCTTGCTTGTCTCCTTCCTCACTATCCTCCTCTGGTGCTTCGAAAATCTCTTCCATGGTTACTTCGGTGATATGGGCGTCATTGCTTTGCTTCCCATGATCATCTTTTTTGGGTCTGGTCTATTGCGCAAATCGGATTTCGACAATTTCGTAAGTTTTCATTGACGATTGTTGTTCGAAAACTTCAAAAGGAAGTGATAGCTGATGATTGGGAAACACCAGCCATGGTCAATAGTCTTTTTAGCGATGAGTGGAATTGCGCTAGGAAAATCGGTGTTGTCGTCAGGCTTACTAGACGACATGGACGTGCTGATCGAGCGGGGTTTGAAAGGCTTAAGTCTCTGGCCGATCACCATCCTCTTTGGGTTCCTGGTCTTGATCATCTCGACCTTCATCAGCCACACCGTCGCGAGCGTCTTGTTGATCCCCATCGCATTCGAAATCGGGAACTCTATGGAGGTCAATCATGCGCGATTGTTGATCTTCTTGACTACTTTTATTTGTTCTACTGGCATGGGCTTGCCCGTCTCTTCCTTTCCTAACCAGTTAAGCCCTCTCTGATGATCATTCAGTATGGTCTGCTCAAATCAAATCCTCTCTAACCCGTTCTTTTTTTGTTTTGTATTTGTGTAGGACTGCGGTTAACTTGGAAGACGAATTTGGGACTCGCTATTTGAGCTCGAAAGATTTCCTCAAATTCGGACTGCTTTCGAGCTTTTTCGGGTTTTTGATCATCTTGACTATCGGCTTTATGATCCTTCTAGTCTTCGGTTATTAATCATTCTTGCCCCCCCCCACCCCCCAGTTTCTTTATTTTTGTTTCTCTGGACAGAAGGGCCAAGAAAAAAAAGGCACTTTTTATCCTCTTTGTTATATACAACGTGTTCTTTTTATGTATTCTTTTGGAAGATTAATCTTTTGTTCTCTTCCAATTGGAATTCTCTGGCGTCGTTGTTTTCTCGCTCTCACTCTCTCTATTTCTCTATTTCTCTCTTTTTCTTTCTTTTATTGTGTTGTAGGTCATTGACAAGTAAAAGAAACATCCATAGACTTGTATACATAGATTTCAACAGCTCTTCATCTCAATTTTGCCTTCTTATGCCGGATCCGCCCTAGTTCTTACTAGGATATTGTGTACCGAGGATATGTCTTTGGTAACCTTGTTTCCAAGTGTCAATGGCGACCTCCAATATGCCTCTCTGCATAGGAAGGCGAAGCAGCTCAATGATAGCCGTATGTATAAATGTGATGGGCTGGCTTGCTACACTTGAGTGGAGGTTGGCCGGCCGCCTGGTCGGTTCTCAATTGGACCGGAGGAACCGTCTGGCGCCAAGGTACATTTTTGTTGCGCCGAGGTTCTTCCGATGTACATAATTGGAAACCCCTCTGCTGTAAATATCCGGGTCAAGGTCACAGATCAGCACTGGATGAGACCGGCCATCAGAATGCACGCCGATGGATTGGAAGCTCGGCTGCCGGATTGTCGCCTCTGACTGGGTTCGCTGGCTGTACAACTTGACAATCTGATCCCACCATGCCGATGGTCAGGTGAGCCTAAATTTCGCCGGATGCAGCCGCCGAGCGGCAAGGCTGTAACCAGTCTTTCCTTGAGACTGAGACCCCGCGGGGCTGCCCTCCGGGCTCTCACTCGGAGCTTGTGTTAGGCTCGAGCCCAGTCCTTATTCTGTGATTCGGAAGCCGAGCGGCATCGTTAAATGCATCAGCCAGACGCGCCACCTGCAACGTGATTCCATGTCAGACCGGCACGCCGCTTCTAATGTCAACCTACAAAAGACGAATGTCAATTTTGATTCGTCTGAAGACCTGGTAGGTAACGGTTCAAGGCAGGACTTTCCCTGAATTTAAATCCTACCAATCTAATAATCTATATATCTGGTGAGATTTTCTTAGCAGTGGTAAATTTAGTATAGTCGCGTATTTATCTATGAGATTTATGAAATTGAGAAGAGTCCATAATGGAATTGACCTCGATCTATTGCAAGCGGGGTCACTGTTGTCGGCAACTATCTCTCTTCACGCGGGTTGGACCGGAGCCTAATAGCAGCAACTGATCAGAGCAAATAAGACCGACGCTCACACCAAAACCTTCACCGGAGACTAAAACTCAAGCTGTCACCAACACCAAGCACCTGCTAAGAAGCAGCTGGAAGCTGTTCCTGGCGATGGGGTCGTCACCGCCAGTGCATTGGACGCGTCGACATGCATCTGGCGCCCCAAAATCATGAAATTTCCCAGTGGCGCGCCCTCCGAGTCCAATGCCCCGGACCTTTGCATACGTGTTTTTTCCCTACTTTCTTGAATGGGTCAGATTGTCCAAGTATATATAATTATCTCCCTGAAGAGGGTACCCAAATTTGAAAAAATGACGCACAAATTGACCAACAAAATAATGTGAGTGCCGCCAAAACAAGGCCTTGCAAGCCTTATCTCTGCGCGCCTCAAGTTTCACTCCCCAAAGGCGCGCACTTTTTTAACAGCACCGCATTCCCTCTTACTGGCGCTTAAACACCCGCAAACCTTCCATATTTCCGATTTTGAATCTCAATTGCTTCCCGGATTGACCTCAGCTGCAAACCATCACTACCATTTTAGCCCTAATGTTAAAAAACACCATATCCTCCTCTTCCTTAACAAAATTAACCAGTGAAGGAAGACTTTCAACACTTGACGTCTTTTGTAGGAAAGGCCAACGTCAGCTTAGTCATTGGAAGTCATTGATCTGCGTGCTCTGTACTAACCACTCAGGTCGGTACAGCCTCACTGCTTTCAGACCGTGGGCTGCCGTCAATGAAAGCGCACAAAACCGATGAGCTGTGATTGTTATGTTTTCATTACGCAGTAGGCTGTAGTTTTTATCGCTGGTGTGGCTCAGCGGCGTCTAGGCAGTATTCCGTGAATTAGGAGAAAAGCGGATCGAAATACATCCAGAGAATTCAGAATCAAAAATCAGACTCAGAGGAAGCTTGAAAGCGCTGAGATTAATTCACGTCACTGGTCACAAGCGGTGTCTGTTCACGGAAGGTTTGCGTCCTGCCGGGGGATTCCTGCCCACCGGCACAAGGCTCCGCAATCCTAGGAAAGAATAAGCTAGGCTCTTCCTGTTTTGCCGGGAGAATCGAGTGAATCTTGAGTCTCAAATTACTAGGTAGATTCTGATCAGACAGTTTTGCGCCTCAAGTTCGCCTAGTAATAAGAGGAAGGCTTTCTTTCGGCGAATTTCTTTAGGAAACATAATTTCGCGCCTATTTTGTAGCCCAATCAACCTTGAATTCTTTGCTTTGGCAGAAGCCATACCAGCGAGGCAAGCAAGAATTTGAGCTGGAGGCTCAGCAACGGAGAG